CCATATCCTTTTCTACCAAGAAGCTCCAACCGGCCGAGTAAAGGTACATTGCCTTCAGCCGAGAACTCCTGGCGATCTACCTCGGTATCCGCCACTTCCAGCATCTCCTCGAAGGACGAGACTTCACGGTTTTCACCGACCACCGTCCTGTCACTCACGCCATTAAGTCTACCACTGACAGACACTCTCCACGAGAGTCAAGGCACCTTGATTACAACAGACAATATACCTGTTATATACGACATATCTCTGGTGTCAACAATCCTGTCGCGGATGCCTTCTCACTTGGGTGACTCTTACTCAGAGGCCATAGACTTACAGGACATAGCCACCGTGTAAATGGGCGACACTGACATCGAGCGACTGCGCAAGCAATCCACGCTGCGCATCGAACACTTGCCACCTCCGTCCTCAGACAACAAAGTATATTGCGACATCTATCTAGGTCACCCTAGGTTATTAGTCCCATCAACCTTACGCAAAAAGGTTTTTGAGACACTGTATAACTTGTCACACCCAGGCATCCGCGCCTCAGTGAAACTCATCACTAATCGTTTCGTCTGGCATAACATCAAAAAGGACATCTGCCAATGGACGCGCAAGTGCTTTTCATGCCAACGTAACAAAATTATTCTCCACACAAAGAGCCCATTGGGTTCGTTTCCCATCGTTGACTAACGTTTCCACCATGTCCATGTAGACTTAGTAGGACCCCTGCGACCATCGAAAGGGTGTATCTATATACTCCCCTGTATAGATCGTTTCACCCGGTGGCCTGTAGCTGTGCATTTGTCTTTCACATTCAGCGAAGCCGAAAGCCGAAAACTCGCACGTTTTCCTCAGGGCAGAGGTTCGCTCACCACTGCAACCTTAATACAGCGGCCCACATAAGGTACTCCGACGCTTGGGGAAAGCCTACGTCATTAAGCGCAACGGTAAACATGAAACCGTCGGTGTTGACTGACTCAAATCTGCGCACCTGGAGGAAACCGTCACTTCCCTTTAATGGTTCCCCACTCGTTGCGACACCCGCAAATCCTGTCCCAATAAGTCCGGCTCCCTCCACCCCGGTAAACCCCACAACACCTTTGGAGCAGGCACCTCATCCCGACCCACCCCATTGGATCCCTAGTCGTGGAAGAGTCCTTAAGTTGTCTGTACATTTTGCCTTGTAGCACGTTTTTACACCCAGCAGCGTACAGACAAATTTAATCTGCGATACAGATAATTTTTCTCTCACCTCAGTATTCATATATACATGTAAAAACCAAAGCTAAAAAAGGAAAAATCATTTTTTCATCGTGTTTATTTTTTACTTTTTTCCACTATTGTTCACGTTTTTTTCTATGCGTATATACACAATAAAAACAAAAAACAAAAAGCCCAAAATCCTTGCCCTTTTATGTTCATCTTCTTCGATCAGCTCCAATAAGGGCTGCTTCGACCTTGTTTCTTCCGTTCTCTTTCAGGCTCTACCCTGAAAACTCGGGAAGAAATCTTCGGCCAAGAAAACGCAGAGACCTCAAAACCCAAGAAGAAAACTTCGGTCAGGAGAACGCAGCAAGAAAGAAGATTGGCACGTTCCCACCCTTTTCATTGCTCCAGCACATAATGGGTATCGAAGACCTTTTTCTGACAGCCCCGTCAGTTTTTACTGGCTCGTGCCCAGCGGCGACGATCCTCTTATTCTTTTATCTGAGGACCAAACAAAACAGGACAAGGAGCAAACCCTGCCAACACACCGGATCGTTTATTCGCTCTAATATCGCTCCGACTCTTGCGTTTTTTCCTAAGCTTATCTTTTCCCCATTTCGGTTGTGTAGATTTATATAGTAAATTATTATTATCTGATTAGTGGTATATGCTTTGCTTTAAATTTCTCATTATGGACCAAATTTTTCCTTTTGTTTTAATTGAACCCTATTTTCTGCGCGCAGCTTGCTAGTCTGCCATATTTGTTCGCTTTCTGTTATTCGTTGATTCTGGGCCGAGTATTGTGGAAAACGTTTTGAAGACGGATGTCAACAGTAAATGTTTTACTATGAAGTACAAAGGAGGTTTCGTGTTCTATCCTATCCTACATACATTTGAAAAGTGAACGTATGATCCTCTTATTCATGATATTTAATTATTGTTGCCATTTATATATCACAGCTGACCGAAAATATTTGTAAGTAAATAACTCAATTATATGTATTTTTGTAAAATTGTTGCAAGTTACTTTTATTCCGCAATGAAACCATTATGCGTCGATGGATGTGAATCTTCCTAATTGCTACTTTATTTCAGATGTATTCAATCTTAGAGTTTGCCGATGGGTCCATCGCCAGATGTGCACCAAAGGTGGTTTACCTCAGAGAATGAGGTTAGATGGCCCAAACGGATCCAATTAACAACTAAAAAATTCATAAACTGTTGGATTCTGGAGAGGATCTCCCACTGGAGGCTACGATGCATTAAGTGCATGTGCTAAGAACAACTGGTCAGTTTCAATTGTTAAACTGCTTCATATCGTAGATAACTATTTAAAAGCGCTTCAATATGAGAAGCGTTATCAAGATGCACTGGAGGTACCATCATCTGATGTTACCGAACCAATGGTTTCTAAACCCAAACGTAAAGTGTGAGTGCCGTTAAATAATGCTAATGGATTGTTCACAGTGCTCCGGTAATCCTTTCAGACTTTGAGATGGATTGACCCAACCTGAGGCCAAATCAACCCTCTTACTCGCGGACTATAGCATATCCAACTCCACCACGGGGTCCGCTTTCACCGTTTCAGAACCATACGCCGACCCTGAGGTACGTAAACAGCAGAGTTGACGAGTTCCACTCCAGAATCAATAACAGTATATTATCAGAGTGCGGGACCGGAGAAGAAAATTGTACACCACCGACAAGGTAAGTTTATTCAGTTCAATCATTTTATATATCATTCAGATCATCCGATCTGACACCAAGTTAATCGGGGTTACATTGTCAAACCTTAAGATGGGTTATCATGTATGCTCATCTAAATAAGCTCACTAATCAAGATGGTTGATTTAAATAAATCTCATTTCATCATCGCAAGCGACACGAACAGGTATCCAACATGAAAGGTAAGTAAAATTACCAGTTATTTTTAAAATTAATGCTGGACACCGCACTTCGATCGCCCAATACCGCCATTTCTGCAACACGAAAGCGATCTTGGTTTGGTCCTTAAGGGAATAATATTTAATTATTTTGGTTTATCTAAATTTACAGTTGAAAAGTTGGA